GCCTAAGGCACTTGCCTGCTAACCAGAAGGCTGGCGGTTCAAACCCACCAGCCACTCCTCGGAAGGAAGGTTGGGCAATGTACTTCTGTAGTGATACCACCTTGGAAACCCAAGGATGAGTCGCTATGAGTCGGGCCGACTCAACGGCACATAACAACAACATGTATGTGACAAAATGTTTGGCACTCCCCCAGTCTTCACGTGTGCAGCTGAACGACCTACTGTGTGCTTTGTTGGATCCTTAAAATGTCCCAGTGTCCTCTAAACAATGAACCCTTCCCCTGACACCTGACAATAGAAGCCATGAATAAACTTTGCTTTCTATAAACCTGCCTCTTGCGAACATTTCATTATAATGACTTTTGCCTGGATGGAGCCCGGTGGCGCAGTGCTTAAATCCTTGGCTGGTCACCTGAATTTCGGCGGTTCGAGCCTACCAGCCGCTCTGGGGAAGAGAGATGTGCCACTCTGCTTCTGTCAAGACTACAGCCTTGAAAACCCCCTGGGGCTGTTGTGCCCTGTCCTACAGGGTCCACAGAGAGTCGGGACCCACTCCATGGCACTGGGTTGGCTTGGGTTTGTTTATTGACTCATTTTGTTTTAATGCAGCAGGTGCCCTGGTGCTGACTGGAAGCTCAGTGCTTTGCACCCATCAGCCGGGCGCCCAGGAGAAAAGGCCTGGGGATCGGTTCCCAAAGACAACAGCCTGCAGAGCGGGGGGAACAATGTGGAGCAAAGCTCAAAATCATGTCCAAAAAAAAGGACCGGGTTTGCTGGTCTGATGGAGCCTGGGGGAACCCCTGAGGCTATGGCCCCTAGCTGCCTTTCAGGTCTGGAATCGAACCCACTCCCGTGGCTTCCAGCCAAACAGAAGACAGACATATGAGCTGAACATTGACATCAGGTAGACACACTCCTTGCAGAGATCAATCCTGGGAGAATAGAAGGGCTGTGTGTGCACAGGGAGACAGCTCAGGGGGCAGGAGTGCACGGAGGGATGGACACAGGGAAGAGGTAACCATGGGGAGGAAGTGGGAGGGGAGCTGTTGCATTGTGGGAAATTGTGGTCAATGTCATGAGACAAAGTGTATGTGAGCTGCTGTATGGAAAGTGCATTTGTTCTGTAAACTTTCACCCAAATCACAATAA